ATTAAGTAATTGAAGTTGTAAACCTTATTAAGGGTTCCAAATGATTTTTTATAGGTGTAGCTTTATGAAATGATAGAATTAATTTCTTAACTTTATGGAAGATGGAAATTTTTTTTCTTTTCTTTTTTTGTATAAGTAAGGGATGCTGTTAAACTATCTTGCTGAAATGGTAAAGATTTTGGGTATTTGAAGAACTAATCAAATGAATAATTTTTATTAACACGGAGGAGATGGATTGTTTAAGTTTAGAGTTTGGAGCTAGAGATATTAATATTTGTTTACTTGTAGTTGAATGTTAGCCTAGGTTTGGTTTGGGAAGTCCGGGGGGTGGGGGGATGGGATAAATCATTGTGTAATACTTGTGATGTATTTCTTCTTTTATGATAAAAACAATAAAATTCTATATTGAAAAAAAAAAACAAAAAAAAAAAACTTTGAGTTCCTTAGATATGTTTATATAGATCTGAGTTAAGATTTGTGGTTTTTTTATTTTAGACTGTCAATCTTTCCTTACTACTGCTTCCTTTGGCTTTTATAACTGTCATCATGAAATTTTATAAGTATCCTTTACATGTTTCCTATGAATATCATTACATGAATACAATACTGAGAAGCTGCATTTTTTATTTATTAAAAAATTATACAGTCACCCATCATGCTTTGATGATTCTGGATGGCTAAGAATAAATTACAGTTATAACAATAAAACTCAGAAAGTTAGAAAAATAAATACCACAACATTACAAGCAGTCCTTGATTTATGACCTTTCACTTAGCGACCAAAGTTATAATGGACTCAAACAAATTATGACTTATCTTAGAACTTATGACATCTTAGAAGTTATGACTGCTGTACCCTGCAATCACATTTTGGGTACTTGGCAATTGGCTTGCATTTGTGACTGGATGCAGCATCCCACAGTCATGTGACCACATTTTGTAATGTTTTTGCCAGAAACTGGCAAAGCCACCCATTGGATAAAAGCTGATTCACACGACCATATGATTCACTTAAGAACAAGGTTGATTTGCTTAATTGCTGAGTGACTCACTTAATGCCTGCTATAAAAATGGTTGTACAATTGAGTATGGTCACGTGCCTCAACTTATGACTGCAATTTACAACTGAAATTCCAATCCCAATTTTGGTCATAATTTGAAGACTATCTATAATATACACAAGTTCTCAAAATTTTCATCTCACAGTCATATAGCCTTACAGCTGAGCTTATCTGTTCTCTTGACCCAATACCCGAGGGAATAGCAAAGATTTTAAAGTTTTTTGGAAGGCCAAAAGTTTTGGGATTTACTTAGTTTTGGGAAGAATAGAACGAGCAATTGGGCAAGCTCTACGTCAGAGAAAGCACCTCTTTCTGGTTCCCACTAGATGACACTGCTTCACGAAAACAACTTGGAACATGTCCATTCTGTCAGTTCTGGTAAGACTGAAAATATCAAGAATGTGTCTCTAGCATCTTTCATTTTGTCTATTCCTAAATTTTAACAAATGCTTATTACTATGGCCATCAATGAAGAAAACATTATATGTGAAACACTCTTTTGTTTGTTTTGTCTATAATGACAGGAGAAATATAGTGTAATTCATGAATTGATAAAAATCTGCAAAGTTTGAATTGCAGTATCAGCTTTAACATGAATTTCTTTATACTTAGGATGAAAATTTAATGGATGTTTTGCAATTGCTTGTTGCTCTCATGTCTGAGCACCCCAGTTCTATGATTCCTGCTTTTGATCAGAGGAATGGATTACGGTAAGAACTAAATTTCAGTAGAAATAACAATAATCAGTTGAATTTTTGGATGTCTTGTCAGATAAATGTCTTTTGCTACATATTAATATGGGGGTTACTTTGTATAAAACATCCAGTTACAGATCTTTTGTGAATTCATATTCAAGAATGTAATTTGAAACAATAATTCTATCTATGTATCATATCTCTCTCTCTCTCTCTCTCTCTCTCTCTCTCTCTCTCTCTCTCTCTCTCTCTCTCTCTCTCTNTAGGTATGTATTTATTTTCTTGTTTTATAACAATAACACAACATTTGGAACTTTGAATAAATTAGATGCTGAAACAATATAATATCCTAATATTGATAGAATTTAAGTATAATGTGTGTGATACTGAGTGATCTTTATTCTTTTAAAATTCTAGTGTCATATTACATTTGTTGAATTGTGTGTGTATGTGTGTGTGTGTCTGGCTGGCTGGCTGGCTGGCTGGCTCCATGGTTTTTGTTGACCAGAATATTATAGCTAGATATATGCAAAACATGCTTCTTGAATACTAAAATGTTTCAAGAAGTATCCAAATGTTAAGCTTTCCTTCTGGACCATGCTGTTTTGGTTATTGTGGAGATGGTTTCAACATTTTCCAGAATGAGGTCGATTTACTTGTGGAAAGCTTTATCCCCAGAACAGTCAGAATAGGGAAAGAACAGTCAAAATGGTCAATGAGAAAAATTGAATATCCGGTCTTTCGGGAAGTATTTTCTTCATGGGAAAATATGTTTTGTATATCCCTAGTAAAAAGTAACCAGGCCAAGGTAATAAATTGTACAAATGTAGAAGGTGGTTTTAAAACTGTTTATTTAATTTCAGCCCCTCCCCCCATCTGGAAATACACATTAAAATATTACAGTGACAAGAAATTCACATGGAATTTGCAGGATGTATATTTCCTAAAGAGAGCCAATGTGGTGTAATAGTTAGGGGAGTTCTACTCCACCTTAGGCATGAAGTCAGCTGGGTGAACCAGTCACTCACTTTCAACCTTAGTAAATAGGCAATGGCAAACCACTTCAAAAATATTTGCCAAGAAAACTGAAGGGATTAGTCTAGGCAGTTGCCAGGAGTTAACATTGACTTGAAGGAATCAAACAGGGGGGGGGGGGGGAGCCCTGTTAAAAATAAATGCGAATATTATCTCTTTCCATAGTCCTTTTGATATTGTTATGATGTCTTTGTAATCCTTTAGGATCTCTTACCAACTCTTACCTGGATTCACTTTTTAGCCTAACATATAATATATTTAGTTGGGTTTTGGCTTAGGAGGTTTTGCAAACTTAAGCACTGTGAATTGCATAGATATTATTTGTGACTTAGCACAACATCAGCTCCCTTACACCAACCCATCTTGCAGGGTTGTTGTTAGTAGGAAATTAGAAGAAGGAAGGTGTGTTGGATATGTTCATTGTCTTGAGTTATTTTTAAAAATAAGGCGGGATACAAATAAAACAGATAAATAAAAATATTGCTCTTTGGGTGCATGCAAAACTTGTATTGCATGATTAGAACAAACCATGACTTAGTATTACTTCTGTAAGTAAAGATACATGGCCGAGGCTGCCCAAGGATATTGCCTGTTTGAGATTTGACCAAGAGACTGGAGGTGGCTGCAGTATTCAGAAGGAAAATACTGGTCAGCAGGGAAGACAGTTCTCTGGTACTGATAAAGTAAAAAGAAAGAGGGGATGAGCCTGGTTTAAGCACAAATGAGGACACTAGGATCTGCTTCTAGAAGGAGGTCATAATAGTTTTCCCTTAAAAAATATAGATATATTTCATATTTTTGACACATAGCTTTCCACTGAAAAGGATTGAAGCAATCTACTGCTTAAGCTTGATGAAAACATTCTAGCTTAGACATTTGATTTGAGTTTTGTTAAGGTATTAGCCTGATTAAAGCAAATCCATAATGATCGAAATATTTCATGTGCTCAAAATAATAAAGTTTTCTTTAATATGCAGCACAAACAATTAGGAGTCACTGTAATTGCATTGTAATAATCACAGACTGTTTAAATATATGATGTAATATAATGTATCTTTCATATTAAGATGGACCTCGGCCTAATCAGAAAGAAATTCTTTCTCTGCGAGCCTGTTTACTGATGTTTATTAAGCAGTTGGTGACAAAGGTAAGAAATCTTCAAATTGAGACTATGCTATTCAGTTTTATTTTCTTACAGAGCTGTTTGCCCTGCTTATTGTTTTCAGCTTCTAGGAACCATCATTCCAATTCAAATGATGGTGGTGGGAGGGCAGCTTCCTGCTTTAGAGTGTACTGTATATTTCTCATGACTGAACATTTGCTGTAGGAAGTGCAGACTCTGAATAATTAAGGTGAGGAAGAAGGTGCAGCCCTTTAAATCTCCATGTCCCGCAAGAGCTGCTTTATTCTTCAATTAACAATTGCTTTCTCTGTAAGATAGGAAACTGAAAAAGACTCAGTGACCCATCAAGTCTGCCCTTTGAGGTTTTTTTTAATTTTTTAATTGTATTTCTTTTATTTTTTTAATTTTTGTCAGATGATGGATATGTGTTTATCTCAAGCATGTTTAAATTCAGTTACTGATGGTTGACCTACTACCTCTGCTGGAAGTTGGTTCCAAGCTTCCACTACTCTTTCTGTGAATTAATATTTTCTAACATTACTTTTGAACTTCCCTCCTGTCAGTTTGGGATTATGCCCCACGTTCTTGATTTTTGCTTAATATTGAAAATACTGCCTTCTAGAATCTTATTCACACCTATAATATATTTAAAGATTTTAGTCATGATCCTCCCCTTCTGTCCTCCAGGCTGTACATAATCAGTTCTTCCAATCTTTCCTGATATGTTTTGTTCCTCAAACCTTGCACCATACTTTTTGCCCATCTCTGGACTCGCTCAATCTTATCAATATATTTTTAAAGTGAGGATGTCTTTCTTGAAATGAAGAGAGATACAGTATAAAAAAGAGGGTTAACCATGTTGTGAATCCAGTGTTGTAATCAAACTGATGTGTATGTACAGAAACTGTGCCCATGGCAAGCCATCCATTTTGTCCTATTTCTTCCTTTTGTTTTCTGTCCCTTCTTCATTCTGTCCTTGTTATATTGCCTGACTGAAAAAAGCTCAGTTAATAAAGTTCCCCAAAGATTAGTGAAAATAACTGAAGGGGGTTTAGACTTTCTCCAGCTGAAAAAAAGGCAGCAGCTTTATAGGACAAATGTTTAAAAAATATTTTCCGAGCTTGGAATTGGTATTCAATTTTGCTTTAAGAATGCTTGAAGCCTTATTAAATAGCACATTCGGTATTTCTTCTTATTTATGACTCTAATGGAAGGGTCTTCAAACTTGGCTCTTTTATGACTTGTGGACTTCAACTCCCAGAATTCTTCAGCCAGCATACCTGGCTGAGGAATTCTGGGAGTTGAAGTCCACAAGTCATAAAAGGGCCAAGTTTGAAGACCCCTGCTCTAAGGCAAGCCAAGTATATGATTATACCATATATAGTTAAAATATTTTATCTTCTGGTATCAATTGTATATCCCGGAAGACTAAAAAACTGCTTTCTTTGATTATAGTTTGGGACTTGTATGTAAATATGTAGACATTCATTTATCTATTTATTTGTCAAATTTATATAGCCACCTATCTCACCAAAAAGTGACTCTGGATGGTGTACTTTATGCCTTTTTAATCAAAATGCAAGATATTTTGCTTCTAACAATTGATTCTATTTGATGTTTTTAGTAAATTAGTCGGAAGACTACTTTAAATAGATGAAAACTATAATGGGAATATTTAAAGCTAGTTTTATATTCAAAAATACAATTTGTCTATCTGGTTTAATAATTAGCAGTGACTCTGTGGGGTTCTAGGCAATGGTTATTCCAAGTTAATTGAAAGCACCAAAGACTATACTTGAGAGCTCCTTCAGGCAAACATAAGCTCTTTTAGTGAGCCACAGTCCTCATTTATTGAATAAGCTATATTGTAATTCATATAGGCTCCCTTTAAATTAATGAAGGCCAAGAGTACAAGATCTAAAGCAGCAGCCCCCGACCTTTTGGGCACCAAGGACTGGTTCCATGGAGATAGGTTTTTCTATGGACTGGAGGGGGTATGGTTTCATGTGCTGCCTGTATCCCACAGATGGAGCTTTGCTTGCTTGCGTGGCCTGGTTTCTGCCCTGCCGTGGACCGGTGCCAATCCAAGGACCAGGGGTTAGGGACCCCTGATCTGAAGGATCAATATATGGGGATGTACGGAATCCATTCATGGTACACATAGTCATAGGGACCCGTATGGAAATTAATACTAACTAAAACTAATACCCAAGTCATTATTAATGAATCCAAAATATTTCACTAGTATTTATGTTAGACAGCAACCTTTCTCTTCTGCTTTTAAATGCGTTACTTGAATTATATTTCTCTTGATTTTATCTTTTAAGGACTATGGAGTGAAAGAAGATGAACTACAGGGCATTCTGAATTATCTTCTTACCATTCATGAGGTAAACTAAGTTGGCAACTTGCTTCCAAGAAGCTTTTGAATAAAATATTCCCTCCTACCATCCAATAACACAGAAGTAAGAAAAACATGCATAAAATTGATTGAAACTAAAAAAAAATCATTTAAGAACCCTCATCTTGAAGTTCAGTTGTGTATCAGGATTCTGTAGGGGTTTTTTTTCCATTCATTTCATCAAATTGGAATATCAAGGGGTGAAAGAGAAAAGAACAAATGGTAAAGCTGTATCCACAAAATATTTTTTTCATGAAAAAACAAAACAATAATAATAGCATTTTAAATAAAGTATTTCTGGATATATGTGAAAAATGTGCTACCTGCAATAAGCCAAGCCCTTAAAATGTTTGTTTATTTTAAATTTACACAATTTACTTATTCACAAGTGGCACTTTTTTCATTATATTTTGGTTAAAATTGAGGGTCTGCTTATTTATGGATGGGTTTATCCATGGTTATGCACCAGCTGTATGGATATTTTTAAAAAATATTGCTACATATACTGTACTTCTTGATAAGCCCATTCATGGATAAGCTAAAAGAAATTTTGAGGGTGAACTTTGCCACTTAAAACTCTTAGTTTATCTTCAAGTATATACTATAAAGCAGTAATTAGAAGTTACTATTGTAATTATTGGTATCTTCATGTTTTGGTTTCAGGAAGAGTTTGATACAAGAAGTATTATCAAACATTTAGAAAGTAGGATATAAATATAAATAAACTAATTTGCTTTCAGGACATTAAAACAAGTAGACTAAGTAATTTTACATCTTAAGTAGCTCCCCCCCTCCCTTTGAGTTCTATGTGCATTAATTCTGGCATTTAGAAATAAAGTTTTCTCTTCAAAACACTGATGGAGATATCCCGGAGCATCTAAAAAGTAAATAGAATTTATTTATTTTATTTTATTATATCTACAATAATACAAGCACTTGCTGCATAATACTGCAGACTTAACTGTCAATAAGAAAGACAAAGAAATCTTGATAATGTATACTGTGGTACCTGAAGATAGCAGAGGAGAAAAGAAAGAACTACAATAGAAAAATCACAAAATATAAAGATCTGCATATAGTAGTAGAAAGACTGTGGCAAAAGAAAACAAAAATAGTACCTATAGTGATAAGGGCCTTTGGTGCAGTCCCAAAACATCTGGAGAACCACTTGAACAGCATTGGCATTAATAAAATCATAGTCAATTGCAAAAGGCAGCTTTACTCAGAACAGCTTACATTCTGCGATGAGACATTTAACACCATCAAGCATCAACATCTGCCTATTCTACTGCTCTTGGAAGGGAGTAGGTGGATAAAAATGCCAAGTCAAGTCTAAACATTTGGCTGACTATGTGATGAACAATTATAGTTGTTCTGCTCCTTGTTTAAGGGGCAAACCCTTAAACAAGGAGCAGAACAAATCAAGTAATTAAAAAAAATCCATTCAGTGTAGTGATTCACAATTTAACAGGCAATCTCTATTAACAACTAAAGCAAGCCCAAACATAGCCACCATACCTATGGAAAACATGCTAAAATATGGCAGATTGCATGTAAAAGTATAATTAATGTAAAACAGATACTAACCTGGAAATGCCAACATTAATATTTTACGTGATTTCTATTATTATTATTATTGTTGTTGTTGTTACTACTACTACTATTATTACTATTATATTTTATTCTGCATGTAGTGTATGTGTATAAAGTCAAATTAAGGTAGCAAACATATGTAATCTTCTTACTTCCTATTTTCATCACCACAACAACCCTATGAGGTGGGTTTGTCTCAGGGAGAGTGACTGGCTCAATGTCACCCAGCCAGCCTTCTAGGCCAACCTCTTGACTACAATACTAAACTGGTCCCATGTTCTCTCTTGAATCACAGTCTATAATTCTGCAGGTGCTATAGCTGTTATTTCTGTGCTTTCATTTTAATTTATGCTTCTTGATTTAACCCTTTTGTGTTTGGTTCTTAAACTTTTAGACCCGACCTACTTTGTCTTATAGTTACTTTCAAATGACTGGCTGCTAGGTTGACATTACGTGGCTCAGCTGTTTTTTAAATGCTGCGGCAGCAGCCATTCTGGGCTTTCAACAAGAAGATGACTGTCTTTTTTTATTTGCTTCTGCTGGGCTTTCAGGTGCCTGAGCTCTGCTCGGGCTGCTTGCCAGAGTCTGAAATGTAATGATGCCTACATATTTATGCTGCACTTGATCTCATATTCCCAGTCTGCTCAGTCTTTGCCAGTTGGTTGGCCATTTACAAGAATTCTTCCTACTTTCTTTCCCATTCCCAATGCCTCCTTATCCAATCTCAGTTTCTGATGTCCTCTGGTTATCTTTCTTGTGAGACTTCAGGTCTTTCTTCTGTCTTTTCTCCTTTCTCCTTTCCTTTTTCTTTTCCACTTTTCCTCTTCAATGCCACCATAACTAGTTCCAGAGTCAAGCACTTTTAAAAGTCCAGGTCAATCAATTCCATGGGGTGGGGCCTTAAAGGAGAACAGGTAAGGGGACCATGGGCTTTTCATTCACTACACATTCTTATTTTCACAGTCTGCTTATATTAAATATGGAGTTTTATTTAGTACTTTAAGCAGCTTTGTTTTTGTCAATTTCTTAAAGTATTTCTGGACTACAGTATTTATGCATTTTATAACATAGTTACTATTTTATTTTGTAAAAATATGTGATTTTTTTGTATTGCAATTTCTAGTTTAGGACTAAAGTCTGAAACAGTTTAGCAACACATTATTTTATGTTTTTTGTATGACAGGACACGTGCTAATCAGTTTTGGCATTAGGAGTCTAAAATAAAAAGCAACAAAAGCTGTTATTTGAATAACAGTTTCCCTGCCATAAAAAGTTGCTTCTGAGTATTTCTTTACTTCTGACATTTTTTGATTTATAGCATGGATATATCAAAACTTTCATGGGCAAATAGATTTATATCCTTGGTTCTTTAGATGGCCTGCTTTTATATATTCACTTTTTTAGTATTGGGAGTAGGGATAACTTTGAGTTCCTTAGGTATGTTTATATAGATCTGAGTTAAGATTTGTGGTTTTTTTATTTTTGACTGTCAATTTTTCCTTACTACTGCTTCCTTTGGCTTTTATAACTGTCATCATGAAATTTTATAAGTATCCTTTACATGTTTCCTATGAATATCATTACATGAATACAATACTGAGAAGCTGCATTTTTTATTTATTAAAAAATTATGCAGTCACCCATCATGCTTTGATGATTCTGGATGGCTAAGAATAAATTACAGTTATAACAATAAAACTCAGAAAGTTAGAAAAATAAATACCACAACATTACAAGCAGTCCTTGATTTATGACCTTTCACTTAGCGACCAAAGTTATAATGGACTCAAACAAATTATGATTTATCTTAGAACTTATGACATCTTAGAAGTTATGACTGCTGTACCCTGCAATCACACAATCACATTTTGGGTGCTTGGCAATTGGCTTACATTTGTGACTGGATGCAGCATCCCATAGTCATGTGACCACATTTTGTAATGTTTTTGCCAGAAACTGGCAAAGCCACCCATTGGATAAAAGCTGATTCACACGACCATATGATTCACTTAACAACAAGGTTGATTTGCTTAATTGCTGAGTGACTCACTTAATGCCTGCTGTAAAAATGGTTGTACAATTGAGTATGGTCACGTGCCTCAACTTATGACTGCAATTTACAACTGAAATTCCAATCCCAATTTTGGACATAATTTGAAGACTATCTATAATATACACAAGTTCTCAAAATTTTCATCTCACAGTCATATAGCCTTACAGCTGAGCTAATCTGTTCTCTTGACCCAATACCCGAGGGAATAGCAAAGATTTTAAAGTTTTTTGGAAGGCCAAAAGTTTTGGGATTTACTTAGTTTTGGGAAGAATAGAACGAGCAATTGGGCAAGCTCTACGTCAGAGAAAGCACCTCTTTCTGGTTCCCACTAGATGACACTGCTTCACGAAAACAACTTGGAACATGCCCATTTTGTCAGGCCTGGTAAGACTGAAAATATCAAGAACGTGTCTCTAGCATCTTTCATTTTGTCTAATCCTAAATTTTAACAAGTGCTTATTACTATGGCCATCAATGAAGAAAACATTATATGTGAAACACTCTTTTGTTTGTTTTGTCTATAATGACAGGCGAAATATAGTGTAATTCACGAATTGATAAAAATCTGCAAAGTTTGAATTGCAGTATCAGCTTTAACATGAATTTCTTTATACTTAGGATGAAAATTTAATGGATGTTTTGCAATTGCTTGTTGCTCTCATGTCTGAGCACCCCAGTTCTATGATTCCTGCTTTTGATCAGAGGAATGGATTACGGTAAGAACTAAATTTCAGTAGAAATAACAATAATCAGTTGAATTTTTGGATGTCTTGTCAGATAAACGTCTTTTGTTACATATTAATATGGGGGTTACTTTGTATAAAACATCCAGTTACAGATCTTTTGTGAATTCATATTCAAGAATGTAATTTGAAACAATAATTCTATCTATGTATCCTCTCTCTCTCTCTCTCTCTCTCTCTCTCTCTCTCTCTCTCTCTCTCTCTCTCTCTCTCTCTCCCTCCCTCCCTCCCTCCCTCCCTCCCTCTCTCATCCTATCCATCCATCCATCCATCCATCCATCCATCCATCCATCCATCCATCCATCCATCCATCTATCTATCTATCTATCTATCTATCTATCTATCTATCTATCTATCTATCTATCTATCTATCTATCTATCGTGTGTGTGTATTTACTGAGAAATAGAGAGCTTTGTTACTGGTTGCTAATACCTTTATTGTTTGAAATGAAAAAAGATCATAAAAATTGGATCTGGTGACATGGTGACATAGTTTACAAATGTCACGACCTACAACTGAAATTGTAGACTCAATTATGGTTGTAAATGGAGGACTACCCCTCACTTTTCTGGATGCTGTCACATATGACCAGCAAGGGACATATGTCAAATGTTATAGTTAACATAACTTTCTCTCAAAGAGACTGATATATTCAATCCATCACTTGGAATATAGACACATTAATAAATATTTATCTAACATTGTAAACTGGGCAAAGATATAGAAAAAGGCTGCAAATATATGCTCCAGTTTGTGTTCTCTATATATTTCAAAAACTATGTTTTTTAAAATATTTTCTATTATTTTCAATAAATATTTGTGTTAGGATATTGAATTTAGTAGCTGGAACAGTAAAGTGAACAATAGGTCAGAACATACAATTGTAGTTGATTAGTTATAGTGTGCTGATTCATGCATGATGCAATCTGCACTATGCTTGGTTGCTATAAGTATAAAGGGGGAGTTCCCTTTTTCCCCTCCTTTTTTTCTTCTGTGTGTTCTGTATCCTATTTTAGATATACCTCATGATGTTCCTGTGTTCCTGGCTATCTTATGTTCTTCCTTTTCTGGATGATGACAAAGACTGCTGTAAATTTAAATAATAAATACATTTATATTTATATAAAAGACTGAAAGTTTCTGTCAGTGTCTCCGACTTCATCTGGACAGCTGCTGCACAATTCCTTGATAATTTGCATTTGTCATTTTGAACTAATAACTTCCTGTCTTTCTTGTTTGTGACCCTTTGCTATATAAATTCTCTTTTCCATTAATAGGAGTAGGATTTGAGTTAATCATGAATATTTTTTCTCCATTTTGATTCAGTGGGACAAGTATCTTAGTAATATGCGGGATTGTTTTAGCTATCACTGTATACAATAAGTATTATTCTGTAAGCGTAGCTTGATTGTTGCCTATGTAAATTATTTTAGCCATTTTTACTCTATGACTTTTAAAAAATCTTTTGTTTAGTGTTATCTACAAGCTTCTTGCTTCCAAAAGTGAAGGGATCAGAGTACAAGCACTGAAGGTGATGGGCTACTTTTTAAAGCATCTGGCACCCAAGTAAGTATTAGATGGGAACTATAGTAAACCATAAAAACATCTAACCCCTTAAATATTATTTTTTGGGATTATTTTCTATAAGTAGTCCTCAATGTACAACCACATTTGGGACTGGAGAATATAATCATTAAGCAAGTCATCACATGACCGGACCAAATTTTATGACCATTTTACAATGGTTGTTAAGTGAATCGCATGATGCTAAAGGAATCACCCTGTTATTAAGTGAATCCAGCTTTCCCAATTCACTTTGCTTGTCAGAACCTGGCTAGGAAGGTTGCAAATCATGATTGTGTGACCACAAGATACTGCAACCATCGTAAATGCAAATTGGTTGCCAAGTGCTTGTATTATGAACATGTGACTGTGGGGCTGGTCATATCTTTGAAGACAGGTTATGTCATTTTTCTTGAGGCCATTGTAACTTAAAGCCAATGTTAAATTAATGGTCATAGTTGAATTGCTGTAGTTGTAATTGATTTTATATTGTTATTTATTAATTATTTAGTGCTGCAATGGCCAGAACTTCAGGCAGAGGTCATAGATCCCAGCATTCAGTGCTGTTGTAATTTCAACTGATCACTGAACAGTCTACCTATATTACATTTTAAAAACAATTAGATCTTAGCCAAGTATACATAAACTAGGCCTGCCCATATTCTTTTAATATTCCCCTGTACTGTACTTAACCATAATTTGTAAATCTGTTATGCCTTTCAAAGAAGCTAGAACACGATAACATAGTTTAAATTTATTTACTTATTATTTATTTTATTTATAAAATTTATTGCCCATCTTACCATAGGGTAACTCTGGGGGGCTTACAGTCATAAAATATGTATATACTGTACATATAAAATTTAAAAAGTAATTAAAATCAAACATTAAAACCTATGGACACATGGGGAGGACGAGGGCAGAGTGGGGGGAAGTGGGATCTGTTATTACTTGATCAACTATCTCCACTGTGCTGTTCATCTACTGGGGGCCCCAAGCCAACTGGCAGAGCCACATCTTTACCGCTAAATTTGATTTGCATATTATGGGTTCTTTGGCAATTATTAACCATTCTTTATTTCTGATATAAACATAGCAAGGTGTTAACAACCTTTTGAAACTTAGAAGCAAAGCAGGGGTTCCAAGCAATTGTGTGCATGTCTCAATTTATTTTATAAAGACTTGATTATTTGACTATATAGATTAAATTTCCACCAGAACACTTATTATTAAGAAATATCTCTGAGATAAAACTTGATATTTTCCTTTTTCATAATATAAAAATTAGCTACAAACCTAAGCATAAGCTAAGCATAAACATAAAATAAATGAGTATGGGGAAGAAAAGGAGAACAATTTTCATTTAAATACTGAAAGTGATAGTTCTCCAAAAATACATTCAACAAGTTACTTATTATTATTTAATTTTCCATATAATTTTAGGAGGAAAGCAGAAATTATGCTTGGACATGGACTGTTTTCTCTTCTGACTGAGAGGCTTACGCTTCAAACAAACTTAATTTCTATGACTACCTACAATGTACTTTTTGAGGTAAAAGACTTAAAATATGTAGCTGAGATGATTTAATTTATACTGATATGTTCCAGGTGATAAAATTTGGATTTTTTTGTTTCTATTTCAGAGAAATACTAGTTAACAAACATAAATGTTACAAACATATGCTTAAGTTGAAAAGCCAAAATTAATAATTCAGTACTTAATTTTAATAAAAAAATTAATTTAATTAAAATAATACTTCAATAGTCAAACAGATCTTTCAATATTATCAAAATAAATTTTAGAATGGTATGATATGATGTGTTGATATGTCTGTGTATGTGTGTGTGTGTGTGTGTGTGTGTGTGTATTTTGTCACCAGCCTGAGGTAAATAATGTTATCTGAGCAAGGAAAAATATTATAACGAGGCAGTAAGAAGTAAGTCATTCTTGCTGCTTGCCACCTAAAGCTAATTTTACTTATTGATATAGTTATTTTAAAGATCAGAATTTGTCTGTTTTTAATTGAACGGTTTGAAATTATTTCAATATTAGATTTTTCTTAATATGTTCTTTTTTTTCCTTTTTAATCAGATACTTATTGAGCAGATTTGTACACAAGTGATGCATAAACAGCATCCTGACCCAGATTCAACAGTGAAAATACAAAATCCCCGTAAGCATCTGTATTTCTTTCAGATAAACTATAGAGAGCCTTTAAATTGTGCTTTATGTGTTTCAAAAAGGGAAAAATGTACTAGGAAGTATATTTCTTATATTTATGTTTGCTTTCATAATCTAACATTTGCTACTTTGGGAAGTGTTGTTACTTGAAGTATTTTTAAAGGGGTTTTTTTTAGGAAAAGGACTTCAGTAACAATTTCAATTTTAGCATAAATCTGAGTACCTAAGTTGGTATGACTTCACTGGAAATTAAATTCATTATTAATTTCCATTCTAAATTAACTGTATCAGTGCTGGGGGAAAAACTGGCCTGATGCTTCAGTTTCTCAGATACTTGAAAGCTCTTCATTGGAATGGTTAATTAACTTATTTTTTATTAATATGAGAGCTGTTAACATGTACAAATGAGAGGTAAAAGGGTTATATACAGAGGAATAAGGCGATATACAGAAGCCCCATAATCAGCAGCTTTGTGTAGCTGTAACCCTGCAATAGGCCTTTAAGCATGTTCATTCAGATTCATTTATAATATTTTAGCAGTCTAGAAACATGTCTTATAGGGCTTCTTATTTGTAGGGAAACTCGCAACAGGTTTTAGGTCAGTGGTTCTCAACCTTTTTAATGCCGCGACCCCTACCGGTCGTAAGTCGAGGACTAAACCGGTCGTAAGTCGAGGACTAAACCGGTCGTAAGTCGAGGACTATCCAACCGGTCGTATGTCGAGGACTTTCCCTGCCCGGGAGCGCCGCGCATGCATGGTTCTGCCCCCTGCGCCGGCCGAGGCGTAGCTGGCAAGCGGCAGAGACGGAGCAGGCCGACCACCAGCTGGCCCAGCCCAAGGGAGGTAAGGCACCCGCCGGAAAAGGAGGAAAAAAATGGCGGACAAAAAAATGGCGGACAGCCTTGCTTGGCGACCCCCATGAAATGGTCAATCGACCCCAAATGGGGTCCCGACCCACAGGTTGAGAACCACTGGTTTAGGTGAATATGATTCCAGCCTAGCAGTCTTTCATTATTGTTGTTCTATATTGGGAGGCCTTAAATATTTACTATTGTTTTACCTATTACCTCTTTCAGTTAAACATCTGAATAGGATTGCTATAGCAGAAAATAGTAAATCTAGAATTGTTTATTATTTTGGGTTTTAATCCCAGTAAGTGCTTTGGAGCAGCTATGGACATGATCATGTTTACAGCTCTTTTAAGGAACTGGTCCTTTTCTCTTTTTCTGAGGAAAGCAGCCATACTATCTTACAATAGTTCATTTAGTGACCATTTGAAGTTTACAGCTGTACTGAAAAACATGACATATGACTGTTTTCACACTTATGACTGTTACAACATCCCCATGGTCATGTGATCAAAATTGAAATACTTGGCAACTGACTCATATTTATGATGGTTGCAGTATCCTGGGATACTGGGATCATGTGATCACCTTTTGCGACCTTCTGATAAGCAAAGTCAATGAGAAAGCCAGATTCACTTAACAGCCATGTTACTAATTTAACAACTGCAATGATTTACTTAACAACTGTGGCAAGAAAGATGGGAAAAAGGGGGGAAAACTCACTTAACAATTATCTCGCCCTAATATAAATTTTGGGCTCAATTATGGTCGTAAGTCAAGGACTATCTGTACAGCATAAGGTTTTGGTCTGAATTTAGTAACATTCTGCCTTAATTGAAAATATGTTCTGCTATAAAAGTATATTTGAAGATGTAATAATTATCCATCTATAAATATATACTATCCAGCTTATCTGATTTCTGTCTCTTAGTAAACATTCCCAGATGCCCTTGGGAAACTCACCAATAAGATTTCTCTTGTCTCTTAGGCCCAGGAAGCAATTAATAAAAATATTGAGTGTTTTCAGGTTTCTGTATGGTTAAATTGAATTTTAAGATGCATGATGCCAAACCAGAATAAAGATACAAGGAAAAAGGATACAAGGATGTATTTGAAGAACCAAGATTTTTTCTCCCCTTATTTTTAATACATATAATCCAGTTTGTTAATGAAAGCACTGTAGGAAATGTTCCAGGAATAATTCCCCAAAAAAGTATACTTTGCTTTTTGTTATATACCCATGTAATAATGTTTAACTTGGGAAGAAGGAAAAGGAACTAGAATGAGGGAGATGAAAATCTTATTTTCATGTTGATTTTTAAAATTGTTATGTTTTCCAGAGTTTCTGAAAGTTATTGCTGTTTTGCTGCGTAATTCTCCGCCATGCTCAGAAACCATGGAAGTCCACCGAGTTTTCCTATCAGACATGATTAAGCTTTTTAATAGCAGCAGGGAGAATAGGAGGTAAGATCATTTTATATCTATATCTATATATCTATATAATAATGTAGCTTAGGAAGCTGTTTCTTCAACCTGCATGATTAAAATTGTTTTTAAACTAAGAACTGGTCTCAAATTGTTCACATGGTTTAATCAATTACTAGCTGTATCAAGTGTTTATTAATGTCATTAATTCCTATTAATGTTGTCTTTGAGTTGTATTTTCCTGCTTTCTTCAAAGTGAATTTTCAATATGTGTTTGCATTTTTCAGGAGTTTACTACAGTGTTCTGTATGGCAGGAATGGATGCTTTCCCTTTGCTATTTTAATCCCCAAAGCTCTGATGAACAGAAGATAACAGAAATGGTGTATGCCATTTTTAGGATATTACTTTATCATGCAATCAAGTATGAATGGGGTGGCTGGCGTGTTTGGGTGGATACCCTAGCAATTACACATTCAAAGGTGAGTTATGCAAAAACAATTCTAATTCTGATTTTTTTTAAAGAACTTTGAAGAGCAATTTGATAGGTTTAGTAAAAACAAAATTTTCACTGAATTTAACTAGAGAGAACAAAATAAGGGTAGGTGTCAATATTCCATAAAGCAATAATTGAAAATATTTGGTGCAATGCTTGTGCAATTTCATGTACCAATGGTATGAGTAGCTAAGTTGATGATCAGAAAACTATGTTTTATTATGAACTGCCTGTGCAGTTGAACCATATAAATTTGAAACACAAGGTGGCGCACCTTGCCTATTTGTATGTTAGAATGATGCCCTTTTCTTAATATGGAGAGGCTGAGCAACAAATTACTATAGTCTGATGAAACTGAAGGGAAAGCTGTTTCCACCCAAACAAAGAGAAGAAAGGTTGTTAGAAGAAGGTTTCTTCTTGAATAAGAAATAAAACAATTTTCCTACTACTAATAGTATAATTTTTTACAACTATAATAAAATTGTGATGGAAAGAATTTTTCTCTAATGGGGGGTAACCTTTTTTCAACTGAAAAACAGATTTTAGAGTAAAGTTTCAATGGTTGCCACGGTGGTTCCTTCTTCTATTCCCCCAAACATTTTTAATACAGCTCTGGGTGGATTTCCATATGGGGATTTACAATGTAAGAAAAATGAAGAGACTTCCCCCCCCCCCATTATACCGTGAATTATGGGACACTTGGTGTGTTGACGGCACAGTTCAGGTACAAAAATTGTTCTTTCAGCTATGTGGATGTCGATGCCTTATGAGACCATATTTATAAAGTGAAACAACAGATACTCTCTTTCCAGGTTATGATTTTACTTACATAGATTGTATTTAAAAGTTATTTATGAATTCTGTTTGATAATTAAGATTCTGGATTAATATTTAATTTGCATTTTATTCTTTTGAATTGTAGAGGTTGAAATTAACATTAATAATTTTCTTAAATTGTGTATAGTTTATAGGGAAGATAACTATTTTCTAGCGCACTTTTTTCTCTGCTTTGTTCATAATAAATTTTAATTACATAACTGTTTTTTCATCATTAATATAAGACTACTCAGTTTTAAATTCATTGGTATTAGACACACATCAATTTAATGCTGATTCAAGGTTTCCATACAGCTCATGAGAAATGTTACAACATGAACATTTGTTTATGAGTTGATAGACATTTGTAAGAAGATAAATATTAACATTGCTAATAATTCTATAAATTTTAGACTGCACTGTTTTGATATAAAATAATCTTATCATGTGAATGGATGCCAACTAGAACATACATATACTGTATACATACATGTGTGTTATGTATGTATATATTATATATATGTATATGTGTGCGTTACATAGTATATAAGTATATAAGTTATAAGAATCAACACTTCAGTTTCTGCATTACATAGATTTTGATAGTCTACATATTCTGACATGAGAAACTATTATTTAAATTAATATTAAGTTTATCACTTCATTTTTCAATCCAATAAAATGATAAAAAATAGTTTTTGTTAAGAATACTATTTTCATGCCACTTTCAGCCAAGCTTGCTCCCAGTCAGGTGTAAAGTGGGATAGCTAAGTGATGGTGGGAACATTTTAAGGACACGAAAAATCAGACAACTTTTTTTGTATGGGATTTATTGCCAGAGTTCATTGTTCTTGTCAAAATGGTGTCTCAACCATTATTCCAGGCAGTTTTCATATACATACATTTGTTTTTTTTTAATAATTGGGTTAGATCAGCCATTGTTTTCCATTTCTGTCTTAACAATGCAAGAGTTACATGGCATGTGCTGTTGAATTCAGGTTAATTCACTTTAATTATCCTTATGACATATCACCTGCATGAACTAAGATTTATCCTACCCCATTGGTCAATGCTATTGTAACATATATTGTTGAAACTGTCATATTATTTTTCATCCTTTGGGGTTTTTTATATACCACTCTGGGTATTGGGTATTGGGACTAGAGTAGCATACAAAAGTTAGTAATAAAATAACCTGTTTTAATTAAATTTCTCTGTAAATGTTCTGAAGACAAGGATCCTCAAAACTTTCTTAAAATTGTTACTGAATTCTGAATTTAGTTTGAATAAGTATGCATTTTTGTAGAGTTTCAATATATTCAAATTCATAAGAAAAAAAATCCTTAAACTGAGTCACAGTAATTGCTTTTAATTTTTTTTTGTATGCTTTAATTTATAATTTAGCTCTATTTCATTTATGCATCAGCCACTGTCTATTCATACTCTACTATATAATTTTATTTTTGGTAAAGAGCTTGTGTGGAAAGAACTAGTGTTGCAAAATTGGATAGATCTTGCAGAGCTGCACATCAAGATACATGGAGCTGCTATAAAAAGCCAAAGAAACTCAATTGCAATTTTATTGTTCAGTTTGATAGATTTCCTGCCACCTTTGTAGCAGGGAAGCCGTTTGTCACTGTAGCCTCTTTTCCAACTGCAGTACTACGCTTTATAAGCAGTGATGGCTTTTGTGGCATAATTGCACTACCTAGGTTTCTTTTGCTCTCAGGATTTGAAGGTGTACATAATCCTATTATAGCTAAAGCCTGTTGTAATGCTCTGATTTTTAAAAAAAATCAGTATTTTTATATCTTTCCTCCCTCTCGTTTCTGCTCTTTTCATTATATACTGTGTAAAATAACTTGCTTTTATTGCCTAGTTTTTATATTAGTCCTAAGCAGAATTAACCACAAAGGAACCCAGATAGAAGCTATATTCCTATTGTGATAAATTCTTCTAACATTTCTTCAGTTTCAGCTTGTTTATGTCTTCTTTACTTTTGCTAAATCCTTGCAACTTCTTAAAGTGAATTTATTTTCTGAAAATATATTTTGGGAGTAATCTGGATAATTTATTTTTTCTGTTGCAATTTGAATAATGTATCAACATATATTTAAAATATTTATTGATACATTAATTTATATCACATGTAATTTTAAGTTTTGACTATAGTTACATAACGTTTAGAAATTACTTAGCCCCCAAGAATTGAGAATTCAAATGCAATAAATTAAAACAAGGGATGAACTTTAGTTTTCTATTTAATGTTTTGGCAAAGTATAAGATTGAATAAGATGCCAAATATAAATCACTCAGTGAAACTGATGTCCATAAAATTAAGTTGAATTATAGTTATTTACTTGATTTGCCCAGGCTTGCAGATGCAGACAAATTGAAAAAAGAAGACCAGCAAAAATGATTTGTTGGTTGTATTGAATTATGGGGAAAGATTAAAGAGTCTGAAGGCATGAAAGGAGGATGGCTGAATATTGAAATGCGTAAATTTGCCCCATAGAGCTTGAAAATGGCAGACCTTGAAGGCCTGGGATGTTCTTATCCCAATGGAATAACTTGAGGAATAGAAGCAGTAGAATTAGAATTCATATAAACCTTCAGAATTTAAAACATGAAAATACTCTTGTAAAATAAAAATAAAACTTTGGGCCATGATTGGAAAGACAATGGAAAAAATTAACATATAACCGTTGACTTAAACAGGTATCCCATATCCTTAGAGAGTTGACCCCTTGATGATGAAAATGCATTTACCCCTCAATATATCTGCAGGACTCCCCCTAAACTTTCTACAGCATCAGAGGTTCTTGCTTGCATATATTGGCTTTTATTATCAAAATGATATTTTTGGATTGACAACTCATATATTTCAATTATGCTGTTTAAAGTGAAGTGATTGGTCAAAATGTAAAACACTCAATATTAATTTCAAAATAGAATAAGAGAAGTATCAAATATAAAGCTGAAAATTAAAGAAGTAACAGAGCACACTAAAAACACCCTAGTGACTCTTGAGCTGTAATTTGCAAAAGTCCATACTACTTTAGTTAAATGCACCTAAGGGAAAAAGAGAGAAAACATAAGAGTATATTTTTACGTATGTCTAAAATTAAAAAAAAGTTGAGAAATTTCTGTTGTTTCATGAGAATTACTTTGAAGCATAAATGAGGAGCAGAAGAAAAGATAAAAATAGAAGGTATAGAAAAAATGTCAGGTTATATTGGACTGGAATGGTTAGAAATTATAAGACGTATAATTAAAGATCAGAATTGTGAAAGTTCAGAAAGTCAAAATAAGAGCCTTAAATTTAGAAGAAATGCTTAAGCTGGATATTAAAGAATAATACAGATTTAATACATTTTGTGCAATAGAAAAATATTATGTAGAGAGCTACTGACCTATAATTGTAATAATAGAAAGAAACATTTTGAATATTTCTATGAATATTCAATCCATACTAGTATGGCATTTGCTGATATTCAATCAAAGTGATAAAATCATCAAACACTATAAGTATATTTAACTAGTCCCCAAATAAGTGGAAATTTGCTACTTTTAGGGAATTGTAATGTAGCCAAACTTCTCCTTATTCTCAAAACAGGTTCACAAAACACTAAAACTTCTTAGGAGGTAAGGGAGTAGCATAAAACTGTCTGGTTGGATAGCAAGTAATATCTCCTATTTCATCTTATGTGGATGAGCAGCCCTACTATACTTGTCCTTGCTGTAGTCTCTTCTAAAATATACAGTGAGGAAAAAAATTATTTGATCTCCTGCTGATTTTGTACATTTGCCCACTGACAAAGAAATGATCAGTCTATAATTTTAATGGCAGGTTTATTTTAACAGTGAGAAGACAGAATAACGACAAAATAATCCAGAAAAACACATTCAAAAAAGTTATAAATTGATTTGCATTTTAATGAGTGAAATAAGTATTTGACCCCTTCGCAAAACATAACTTAGTACTTGGTGACAAAACCCTTGTTGGCAATCACAGAGATCAGACGTTTCCTGTAGTTGACCATCAGGTTTGCACACATCTCAGGAGGATTTTGTCCCACTCCTCTTTGCAGATCCTCTCCAAGTCATTAAGGTTTCGAGGCTGACATTTGGCAGCTCGAACTTTCAGCTCCCTCCACAGATTTTCTATGG